TTCCTGCCTCGTTTAATATTGATGTGTAACAGTTGGAAAATCGTGGATAACTTTGTTGAAGGGGACATTCGCTCAATGAATTTAATGAGTTCTTTTCCGCTCTTCTTTGAGAAGCGACAAGCCCGAGGCAAGCCATTGAATCTTTTTAGCCATTGAGTTTCTATTATTAAATTGTTCAATAATATTAGCGTTAATATGGTTTAAATAAACAGTTATTTTTTTAAAGTCCAAATACCTAGCCTGTAATGTCGCAGTTAGATACCTAAATTTTTTTTATGTCAAAGGTGGCAAACGAGCAGACGGCCTACATGATGTAAGGTAGTACCGTAGCCCATGGACATCCGCAACATGTTTGTTATGGATGAGTTGCCAACCTTGTTTTTTTAGGAATAGAAAGGATGGGAAATAGGAAAAGGGCAACCGTCTTTCTCACTCATCGGACGAAACGCTGCCACTAAAGGCTACTTCACGTCGATCTTCTGTGAGAGGGTGGTACTTCCCCGGTCGAGCCAGACCATGTTCGAGCTGTAGTAACTTACCACAGCTAGGCTCTACCACCTAAATTATATTTATTAAAAAAATACGATAAACAATCTAGTTGCCAAGTACTACGATCCAAAATTCTTTGCGTGACATTCGTTCACAATTTTCTAGCGACAGTGCGGTAGAGTATCCAATTGCCTCATCATAAATAAATGGAGGCAATAGCAATCATGCAAATAGGGAATCTTTGTTACCATTGCAAATATGTTTCAGATCAATAAACAAATTTCTGTGCGTTTTGTGAATATCTCATTATTATTTAAATCATTAAAACATACAAAATAATTAGAGTTACTCTCCATGCTTTACTCCATGAGTTACTCTCCATGCATTCCGGCATCTGAGATACAAAAAAGTTTGTATTTATTCCTCTAAAATCATTATACAATTGGCTCCTTTATAATAAAGTTAAATTGAACTATTATTTTAAATGGAACAGAAGTTAAAGCGAATACAAAATTTAGTTTTTCTGTCTAAAACTTTTATCATAATTATTCAATAAGAAGTTTTTTTGCGGAACTTTAACAATAGTACTTGTAAACGTCTTTAACTTCAAATATACGCATATAATATACGTGTTCCATTGATATTTTTTCTTATACAAGATTTAATCTATTGTTTAAAATTTTTGAGAATATCCAACTTAGAAAACGTATTCATGATACTTCTGGATCGTAACAGCAGTATCCAATAGCAAAGTTTAGCAGATCTATTGAATTGAAAAGTATTTGTCGGCAATCAGATAATTTAACTGTCTGAAAAGTCTACTGACTTTATGAAATCCATCTTACCATCGCTTAAAAAATAAAATTCCATTTATTAAAAAAGAAATTTGTTTCTGTTTTCCTTATACTATCTGAAAGTAGATATGTTTAATTTCTTATCGTTACTTCTTCTACCTGGCAATTTCCCGGCTATAGCTAGGGTCTACCTTTGTGAATATTTTTGGCTAATTGTTTTTACGACCGGCCGCCTGCCTGACATCAACCCTCTTTTGGGAATCAGCATTAATTAGTGATGTCTAAATATTCTTAGAAACTACATATGACTCAGAAAAATCACATTGGTACCTGCCCGGTCCAGGATCGCACCCGCGCTCTCGGTGACGAGAGGCGGGCCCCCTAACCATTAGGCCACCACTGGCTAAATTTCTTATCGTTACTATTTCATAATTTTCTCCCACCATCAAATTACAAAAACGTATTTAATGCTATTTTATTGTTGTTAATATGACATTGGAGTTCATTAGGAAATAAGTATCATTGCCCCACCGCACTGTTTTTCTCATTGTCTGGCTCTATTATCTGTGAAGATGTCTTTATAATGAGGAAAACCGTTACGAAATCATCATGAAAAATCCTTAGTGCTTAAAAAAATTGTATGCATTTATTGATTTTAAGTAAAGAATTTTTATCATGAACTCATGAATGAAATATAGTATGAATAATAATATTTTAATTAAATAAATTTACTTATGTCTTCATTTATAGTCATGTGACACAGCAAAGAAAAATCTGCTTATTTGGATTATTGAGTTAATTGTCGCGTAAAAAAATAAATTTAAAATTTAAATTTTTGAGGAAGAATTGGGACGAAATTTAAATAATAAAGGCGGTCGATACGACAAATGACAGAGTAAATGTGCGATCGTTACTGTCAGATGCATGTAGCACTAGCAAAGAAAAACCGTTATTAATAGCTGAGGGGTAACACAGGGGCTTCTGTTGGGAAATAATATATCGTGACCTTTCGCAACTATGGCACTATATATATAGTCGACAACTTGGAATTACGTCTACCTAAGAAGTGTGCTTCTCTATAATATTTAGATAATAGAGGTAGAGATACAACACATTTTAAATCCTCTTATCATGACCAACCTCCAATTCAACCCAGCTTTATATCTTCACACAACAAAAAAAAAAGACAGTGGAATATTTATATTTAGTTTTGTGTGATCGTATTGTTATGGACAAAAAATTTATGTGTTACTGTTTACATACTATATGTATGTTCAATAAGGATTATTTGTGTGAACGCTAAAGCGTATCATCATTATATAAATATAATCTTGAGTTATTCGCTTCCCCACATTTAGGAACTTCATAGGTAGTAGACATTATAAAATAATCTGGTTATTAACTTTAACTATCCCTACCTTAACGTAATGAAGTATCTGAATCCATCTTTCTTCACCCTGACCCACTTACTGTTAGAAACAGATTTGATTATCATCGATTTGAGGAACTCAGGTGGAACTATATATATGTAAAAAAATCCATATGTGAAACTGCTTTGGAACTTATTCTGATTAGGATTAAAAAATGGGCTGAAAAAATATGGGACACTTGTATTAAATGTTTTTTAAAAACTCATAACAATAATATCAATAAAGAAGTTTCTTGCTTATATAAAATAGCAAATTACTCTTATTTTATAATATAGACAATTTTAGACAATTAGCATCTCTTGATATATTATAAATAATGCATTATAATATGAGAATTCCTTACGTGTAAAAGAACTTGGTTGTTATAAAATGTATTAGTGTACTTTTTCATTCGTTTACCCTTTGGTGCTCCGATAAGATTAAATATGTATGTATGTATAAATAGAGCGCTTGGGACTGGTAGGGTAACAAAATGGAATTAAAAAATAATATGCCTTAAGAAGCCGTAAGGTACCGTTCTTAATAATAAGCTTTGAATGATATTATTTATAAGGTTTTATATAATTTGTTTTTGATTTTTCATTTCATAAACGGATTAAAAAAAAAATAGATAAGTACTATGTAAAGGTCTAATTTAATACTGACTAATTATCTACAAGACAATATTGTTCTGATTTAAGCTTTCACAAGACCATTCATTTATCATACTCATAACCAATAAATTTTCAAGCTACCTACCTACAATAAAAGCCCATATAAATGTAAATATTAAAAAAAATTTACTCTCGACTTTAAGCATTACAAATTCACATAGAAACCACATACAATATACATACAATCTGACTATTCAATTCTGCTGACCCGAAGACTTATCCAAATGTGACAGAGAATTGCCTTGTTAGTGTGGATTCTGAACTAACTGCAAGTGCTCTTGAGGCCTCTAGGATTTTTATGAATTTGTGAAATGTTTATTTTTTAATTTTACAAATTGCCGTGATTGAGGTCAAAGCACTAAAAAAACTTATAAAATATAGTTTAGTTTGATTTTATTTAACTTTCTATTTAGTGGTTTTTTTCCTTCGTAAACTCTCAAAGGCCCTTGTCTCTTTGTTGAAATAGTAGTTGTAAAATGAATTTTTCTATGTTCAATTTCATTTAACTTTCAAAACACAAAGGTTAGAACTCTGATAGATACCGTAATGGTTAACTAAAACTCAGAAATATTACAATCTTTCAATATGTGGTAAAATTTATAAAAATATAAATAATAGTGATAATTTGTCTATTTGTGTTTCTATCCTAACTGAATCCTTGTTTTGCTAAACATCTTCTTTGTTATATAAAACTTCAGCAAATTATTAATACGTAAAAGTTTGTATGTATAATTATATTTATAAAATATTTAAATATATACAAAACTACAATATTTTTTTTAAACGACATAGTCACGTATATTTATTCTATGAAACTTAGGACAGCAAACATAATTTAAACAAATGCATAGTCTGGGATTTAATAGATATTTTTTATTTTGTATAATTTTTAGGTCTTTAAAATATTTACGCATAAAAAATTAAGTGAAAATTAAATGTTTAGGTAAAGCCCGCTTACAAGTAGGGTCATGGTTGAATATAAATAAGCTTTCAACAACATTGACCCCAGAAGAGCATAAAAGTTAATGCCCTTTAAAATTACCGCTATGAATTAACTCGCAGTTACTAGATATATAAACTTTGTTTTTTATTTATAATAATTTATCACATAAAATTTTGCTGTAACGTGTTAAGCTATTATATTCTTTGACACCATTAATTAATGATAATAACAATTTTTCATTCACTTCGTTTATTTTTTTCACTCACGTAGACTGGTAGATGTTTCAAAAATTTGCGAAATAAAAATAAATTCAATTGCAGAAACTGGTGGCAAACTTTCCAACTAGAAATGTTATCACTGGCGGAAATATTTACACATTATTTCTTTGTTACCGGAGCACATTAACTATTTAATTCTGGTTCTACGTCAACGTCAATATTGGATTTTCCTATTATGGACGCTACGATTAATGCTATGTCAGTCACAAGGGATTGTTTTTGTGTACGTAGCTAAAGTTAATCGTTAAAATAGATGTTATTTTGTACTTATTAACAGTAATTTTTATCTTAATATTTAACATCTATTTAAAATCAACGCTTACATAAATGAAACAAAAGAGGTTTAAGTTATTTTATATCAAATTCTCATTAATATTGTTTACACGCTTCTACCGAGTTTATATAAGCAATTTATGATAGGAGCACAAAGTAACAGAGTGGGGTTAGGATCAAATAGGAAAGTCCAAGATGCGGATATATTGAAGTCTTTTATTCGGCAAGACGAGAATGATAAATATAAGATCCATGCAATGAATTTAGAAATGCAAAACGAGTGGTTAGACATAGGAGATTTATGCATCCCATTAGCATTAAAATGGCGCACTTTAATTTACGATTGGTCGCCAGCATTGCTAAAATTCTATCTCAATGCGTTCCAGATGACTCTCCCAGATCAGAGTAATTTAGTAAGAGGGGGTAAAAGTACCGAAAATACTTGCTATATCTGTGGAAAGGCAGTTGGAACTGCTAAACATCTGCTGGTGGGATGTAAGGTACTCCTGGACAGCGGTCAATACTCGCGTCGTCACGATAGGGTTTTAGAAGTCATACGTGAAGCGGTTAGTCTTTCGGTAGCCAGAGCGCAAAAGGAAATTACCACAAACGAACGATCAGTAGGTTTTGTGAGAGAAGGCACTAGGGCTACAAAATCAAACGTCAAGCCTTACTCCATCCTTAAAGCGGCGTCGGATTGGACTATAATGATGGAAACGTATGAAAAACAATATAAAATCCCCGAGGACATTTGTGTGTCGGCCTCCAGACCGGATATATTTTTGTTTTCGCAAATTTTAAAGCGCGTAGTGATGATAGAGCTTACGGTCCCTTGGGAAACCAACATCCCCAAAGACCATACCATCAAGGTCAACAAATATTACGAGCTCACAAACGAACTCACTCGAAATAGGTTCGTAGTAGATTTGTACGCGGTGGAGGTGGGAGCGAGAGGTATAACAGCGAAATCTCTCTATAACCTACTAAAGTACTTGGGCTTGTCCAGAACTCACATTAATGCATTCTTGGAACGTACATCGAAGGCAGCCCTAGTAGGTTCTTTTCAAATTTGGTTAGGTAGGGAGAGGAGCTTGGACAGTGGAGGTGAGCGTATAACGCGCGTTAGTTAGGGGGCCCCTTAAACCTACACTTGGGTCGCAAGTCCCAGGCACTGTTGAAGCTCCTCTCCCTGCAACGCGATGGACCCGGCACCCGCACGGTGAATCCATGGATTGCTGAGAAGTTTCGTCTCTTAACTGCGGATTCACAGAATTTTTAAATAGCTACGAGGTCTAGACTTTGTTTTACAAAGGAAATAATAAATTCGTTTTTACATGAAATTGCATAAATAGTAGCAATAGAAATATTGGATATTTCAGAATTAATGGAGCTCTAAATAACAACTAAAATACTTGGTATTGTTTGAAGATACCAAACTTCTTGATATTCAATGTTTTAACAAAGTCCGAAGTTAACAATACTGTATTATTTGTTACAGGATTAAATGCTGTGAAGATAGTGAAAGTATCCGTACCGGAGATAATACAGTATGGGGTACAAGACTCTGTAATTTTAGATTGTGATTACATTTACGGCAACAATACATCAGGATTGGTCGTAAAATGGTTCTTCAAGAACAAAGCGCGACCCGTATATCAATGGATTGCAACGCAGAAACCACAGGATATAGGCATATTACGGGGTCGAGTCGACTTGACTTATCGAGCATCGAACGATCCATTAAAAATGCATAGGGCGCTGCGTATAGTAAAACTGAATACAGACATTTCGGGTGACTATACCTGTGTCGTATCTACATTTATGGAAGAAGATTCAAGAACAAGGCAAATGATTGTATTTGGTGAGTGATTTTTTAGGGGCTTTTAATAGTTTATATTGATGGTAGAGGATTGCGGATAGTATTAATAGTATTAATTTACAGGCTCATTTAAGTATAAAAAATTATGTCCTGTTCCTCAAAAACATAGCAACACTTGTGCGCCGTTAGGTTTTATTTATAACAGCATCTGTTATCCGCTTCACATCTCTTTTTGTGGGCAAAATAGTCGTAAGGCTTCCAGAAAGAGTTACAGGAGGCTTATGGTCATAAACATCACCTCATGCTTGGATCTACATTTCTCAATATGGTATTTCAAATTAATAACATGTTATTATTTGACAGAGTACTTTAAACAGTACATTTTTAATAGACTACATTTTATTTGCTACTGAAAAATAATTCGCAATATTTCCAAAAGTTTGTCCTCTTCAAGAATGTTTATTTATCTAACAGTGCTGCATTCTAATCAAAGTTATGGTTCACTTTAAATACAGTTTATGTTAACGGGTTCCACACGAAATCAAAATATTTATTCCTAGCTCATTTCCCACAACTTTGTCACTAAGAATTTAACTTTCAGACGACCAAGGAAAAATGTATATAATTTATCTATTAAGTAACTCTCGTGTTTGAGATAAAATATTTCATATAATGATTGCAACATTTATGAAAATATTGTGAGGTATTTTAGTTTAAATGAACTGTAAAAGAGATAAAGTGGCAATAATTCATTCAATTTGTTTATTTTTATTCGTTGTTCTGTATCCCAATATTTAATTTATTTAATTAGTTTTTTATTAACTAAGTAATAAATAGTTTAGATGTTTTTAGTTAGAAATTATATAAGAGAAAATTCTCTATCGCAATTAGATTTTCTAATGAAAAGGGATAAAGGCAATTTAATGAATTACACTTAATGTCATGAAATTGTTTTTAAAACTGCAAAACTGTGTTTATCTAGTTTAAATAATAAATAATTGGCTAATGTATGTAAGTCTATCCATTTTATAATAAATTAAAAATAACTATAAAAGATTTTGTTTTTTTATGGTTAAAGTAATTATTAAAAATTAAAAAAAATATTAATTAAAAAAAAATACCAATTATTATTTCACCGAATATAAACGGTCGCTATCCAAAAGTTAAACCTAGCCCTGAATTTATTTTTCACTTTATTCAAATAAGAAAAAGTACTTTTAGGAAAGTCAACAAAAAAATTGCAATGCACAAATTGCATTTCACCTTCTTACGTAAATTATTTTTTGATGATAAAGTGCTTTCGAATAAAAGTAAATATACTATAATTATATTCATGAATGGTTCTAATATTAAAGTAAAATTTTATATTATGTTACCATTATTGCAACTTGTGACCGCCAGTTAGAAGTCACATTTCCCAAATTCCCTCATTGGACCTAATGTCTCAGAATAACTTATTCCGGTTTTTTCTTTATTCCATACTTCATGCATACCCTAAAAAACATTTGATGTGTAGTTTTACAGGTTAGCAGTATAGAGTTTGATCTATTTTGTAAGACGTTATAAAAAAATAATGAGAAAATTTAATCAGTATTTAAACATAACTTAGTAAATTAATTTTTTTTTTTTAGATCTCTTATAAAATACTATTTCGTTAAAATTAAAAGTATCATGTTATTCTATGTCCTATTTAATTATTTTTTTTTAATTTAAATGAGGTTGTTTGAAATATTAAGCAATAAAACCAAATAATTGTATATTCACTTTAATTTGCAAGAAATATTTTTGTAAACAATTTTCACCTAAAAAGTGAGTGTACCGCCTTTAAAGTGTTTTATTATTTTCCATTATTCCCAAATGTTACCTTATCTCATTATTATTTTAATAATATTACTCTGATGAAATAAACAAACCACAACTCGGTGTTATAAGCTTTCAGTGCAGTGTAATATACATAATATGTACATATATGTATTAAGTATTCATCCTTCAAACTTTGATAACGCAATAACAAAATTTTAAGTTACTTCATTATCGTGAATCGCATCCTGATAAGTCTAATGTTGCAGTACCGGAGACGAATTTCCGTCTGATCCAGAACAAGACTGATGACGAAACAGTAAACGTCATCTGTATGGCGGATGGAGCCTTCCCTGCGCCAAACCTCACTCTTGCCACACCGGAACGGTATGCTTATGCGAATTACTACTCGTATTTTTGTTGTAGATGGATAATTACTTTACGACTCGTAATAATTACTCTTCTATATATCTAATAAAGTGGATATTTTTCAAGAAATATCTATTAAGCATAATTCTCCTCTTTCCTAAATGGTGCAAAGTAGGCCATATAGATTGTTGCAAATTCTAGTTTACCTTGGTTAATACCTAGTATAAAAGCACTATTGTTAACATTGTAAACCTAAACGGTTATATAACTTGGTTATACAGGTAATATACATATAATACCTATCTCACATTTTTCCTTGCAGTTTCAGTTGCACAAGAAAAATATATTATCACAATATATTTGTGTGCTAGGTACAAAACGTTGATATTAAGATGCCACATGTTTCGCAAATGCAAATAATTTTCCCGCTTCGGGATATACCGACATGTTTATCAGGACAGGCAAAATAGTTAACCTCAAAACACTTCTCTAGTTTATATTAAATTATGAAGCATTCTGGATTTCAAATTTTTCTATGATTATCAAAATTTTGTTCAAATAGTTCTACCGATGGTATAATTTAAATCTTTTTCTATATAATACTTAAGCAAAACCTAAACTATTTTGACTTTTACATAAAGTTTTTAATGATTAATAAAGATAAATCTTATGTTAAATTATTACGTATTCAGTATTGAGTTAGGCGTTAGCCTAATGAATCCATGTTCTCTGTAAAATATCGAGTCAATGTATTAATAAATATAATAACAAAAACACTGTAGACACCCCTAAACTGAAATAATATTTAATAAAACTCACTGTCTGACCTCGTAAAACCACTTATTAGAATAGTTATACGGAAACTTGAAATAACTTCACTGTCTCAATAAACATAATAAAATTCAGACATCTTTAACAAATAGAATTTACATTTTTAATATTTAACATTTTTTGAATAAATTTTCATTTTTTTTATTATAAGCAATTACTATGCAGAACATTTTAAGCCGTTTTATATTATCTACATTTTAATGAATGTTTATTCTGATATTTCGGTTGCCACAAGATAATATAGATTCTGAAATATTATAATAGTTTAAGTATTTGGTATTTTCGGGAACGAGAAATTTAAATAATATATGTACTTTATCCACTAGTCTAGCAATGTTTTAGGAAACTGGAAAAATACTGTGTTTATTGAATATTTAACATTAATTTTATTTTGTTATTTATAAAGAACACGACGCTTACATATAGGCCATATGTTCAATTTTAGTGTCTGATATATTTTTCTATAAAATTAAAATATATATATATCGAACAGGATGGCGTTCAAAATTTTATTGCAAAAGGAATTAATGATTTCTATTATAACTTCTTTTATATATTTGAAGGTTAGACAACTAAGTCATTCACAAAGATTCCAAGAAGTATAATGACATGCAAACCCTGTGGTATACTTAAAATTTCAATAAAGGTTTTAGAAATAAAATTTGGAATTAATTAATATAATGCAACATATTTTTAATAGTATTTCACAAATTTCAATCAACGACTTGTATCTTTCAAATTTGATAAAGCTTAATTATTTTGTAATGATAATCTATATATATATATATATATATATATATATATATATATATATATATATATATATATATATATATATATATATATATATATATATATTATATTTTAATGGGAAAAGGGGGCAACCGAGCAGACGGCCTACTTGATGGTAGGTAGTGACCGTCGCCCATTGACATCTGCAAAGTAGATATGCAGATGTGTTGCCGCCCTTGTTTGGGGAAAATGGGGAGTAAAAAACTCCACTTATAACTCAAGAACGGCTGAACCGATTTAGCTGAAAATTGGCAGGGAGGTAGTTTAGAGTAATAACAATAAATTAGTATATTAAACATTCGTTTGACATATTATTGATGACGCAACACTTTTGTGTAATTAACCCTTTAAATGCCGGACTTCGTATCAGTTATACAGCTAAGGATGCCAGGTACATGAATTATAAATAAATACCTACAAAAAATAGGGATGTCCTCCATGCACTTTTTGAATATCGACATTTCGTGTTACTTAATGAAAATAAAATTTTAATACCTAGGATTGTTAGTACCAAACATCATCATCGCGATAACCCGAAGATTTGCGTGCTAAACCGATGATGAATGTTATCGTGATGAGTGCGGTCGTGGTATAACTGATTAGTCCTTTGACATAATGATTTTCAAATTACTATATCTATAATTTTAGAACTAACTAGTCAGTTTAATGCACGATAATTTATTTTTAATTTATCGTTGTATTTTTAAGCATACATAGGTCCCATCCCTAGAGTCGGATTTTTCCGTCGTTGGCGTTGTAGGTCAAAGCAAATTTCTAAAAATAAAGAGTGTAATTCATCGAACTTTCGACATAGTTTTTAGATTATAGTGAACTGCATTAGAAGTTATTATATAATTAACTATTAACATAATACAAAAACATTTTTCGTAGAGTAAAGCTAAATTAAATAAAAATGAAGATTAAACAAGATGGTCGTCTATATACGACGTTGGCGAAATGGACACCAAAATAATTGTCGTATTAATCCAACCTTGGCGGTGAAAGGGATAAAGTGTAAATGATAAGATATATATTTAAATACAAATAGTATATTTAATAAACATAATTATAGAACAATATCCTAACACGGGTAAGCAGGAGAGCGTGAATTTTTCTGTGTTTGTGTTTTAAAAGATACTCGAATTTGTAATTTAAATTTTAAAATAAAATGAACGCGTAGGTAGACTATTTTGTTTTCTCTTGATAGCCAATTTATAATATGAATATTGTTTGTAAAATAGTATAACATTCGAGTTTT